ACATCTGGGGTTTAGGCTTTAGGGCAAACGACATTCTCCAGCAATCTAGGAGCAGATCGAACTTAGGCCTTTTAGGGTGCATCCTGAAAACTCCCTTCTACTTTAAAGGTGCTTCAAGAGGCATCACTCCAGGATATCATTCGTTTCGATGGGGTCGTGATCCCTATTAACATCTGGGGCTTAGGCTTTAGGGCAAGCGACATTCTCCAGCAATCTAGGAGCAGATCGAACTTAGGCCTTTTAGGGTGCATCCTGAACCTTATACAGTAGAAGCCAACGAAAATTGGAACATCGATGTCCTGATGCCCCTAAGGTAAATTGTCGAGAATCCTGGCACTGATCTTCCAACCCTGAACCCAAACCCTAAACCCTAAACCCTGAATCCTCAGCACCCTAAGCTGAAAAGAAAAAAAGCTGTAAACACCCTTAAGCCCAATCACCCAGCCTAGATTCTTGTTTGACAATATATATAAATAAATATAAATATAAATATAAATATAAATATAAATATAAATATAAATATAAATATAAACATAAACATAAATATAAATATAAATATAAAAATAAATAAATAATAAATAGATAAATAACTAACTAACTAACTAAATAAATAAATAAATAAATAAATAAATATATATATATATATATGTGGCAGCTTTAGAAAATTGCCGGCCCTAATATAAAGCCCTGAACCATGCTCCGTGTTACGAGGAGCTGACCCCCATAAGACCATGCGACAAAGCTTTGAGACCCTCATACAGAAGACCCTAAACCCCGAAGTCAAGCCCTTGGGGGGGGAAATCCCTAATTCATCGTTTTCTGGACCGAAAATTATGTTTCGACCCTAAACGTTAAACCTCAAAACCCTTAAACCTTGCCCTTTCCTGAAACCTCCAAGTGACTCTCTGCCAGGTTGGCCGTGCCAAAATCTACGAGCCGAAGTCGTGGCCTGAGCTTTGTAATTATGGTTTAGGGTTTGGGGATTTAGGCTTTAGGGTTTTCAGCATAGAAGAATATAATTACCAATATTACTCCTTAGGGTTCCTTATGAAAGATATATTATAAAGGAGCCCAGCACGCGGTTCTACTTTGGAAGGCCCCTACATTAAATAGGGTGTGTTCACGGGTGTGTGTGTGTGTGTGTAGTTCTCTAAATTAATGTCGCTGTTGCGGGTCCCAAGAACAGCACGGCACCTTCTCAAAAGGAACCGAACAGGGGACCCTAATTTGGAGAACTACGGTTGATGATACAAATCCTGCATTACCCCATCATAAGGAATACACCATAATTCCAATGGTTTAGGGTCGTTAAGGTAATGCAGGATTTATATCATCAACCGTAGTCGTGCATGCCTTTTAGGCTTTTAGAAAACGTTTCAATCTTTGCGATTCTGATGTTGTCCTTAAGCTTTGGACTGCCAGGCTGTGGGGGCCCAGCAGCCCCGCCTGAGACGAAACCCCCCTAAACCCTAAACCCTAAACCCTAAACCCTAAACCCTAAACCCTACACCCTAAACCCTAAACCCTAAACCCATGCAAGCCCTCATAGCTCACGTCCGACGCGCTGAAGCCTTCAGGCGAGGAAGGAAGCCTAAAGTGCCAAGCCCTGAACCTCGAGGGTTTAGGGTTTAGGGTTTAGGGTTTGGGGTTTTGGGTCTCACTCCTGTAGAGCATGTGCTACAGGGGTCCGAATGATTAGTACCACCTATCCATCCTTTGGTCCCGGCAAACCTACAGAATACTATCCCTAACACCCTGCTCTAATTCTTAGCGCCCGTAAACCCGATATATCCCACAGCGAGAGAGAGAGACAGGCCTAAACCATCCTAAACCCTAAACCCTAAAAAGTCGGCTCAACGCGGTTTCCGTGCTTTCCCAGTGTTTGAGTCATGCAAACATGCGACGCAGCGCTGCATGTCGAGATGACTGGGGTGCGTGGCGGCCATGGAAGAAGCGGCCGCGCTGCAGCGATAGCAAGCGGTACAGCGACCGTGAAGCTCTAGAATGGGTTGAAGAGCCCGACTACAGGGACATCATCGAGCCCGAGCTGGTCTGCGACTACATCAGCCGCCTGGTGCAGCATGTTCTGCTGCCGAGCAAGCACGCTGCGCCTGGTTTGAGTCGCCGTGCGTACGTCCAAGATGTCTGGGTGATGCTCTCCGAAGCACATGAACATGCACGACTCTATGACGACAAGGCCAAAAGCGAATTTTGGGATGACCTGCTGACAGTCCATCTCCGAGCTGCACACTAGCATAGCACGTCATGGGACGGAAAAAAGCTCCTGCGACGCCTGTGCAGCTTTCGGTAGTTCTCGGTAATTCTCGGGGAATACAGGGAGCAAGCAAATCATCAGTTCAAATCGTCAGTTTTCAATTTTTCCAGAGCTCATTTCGATCTCAAGCAAATTTTCAGCAATTCTTTCGGGCGAACGCATGGGATTCATTGTAAATACCATTGGGCCTGCGGAGAGCAGCGACTACATGGCCAAACTTGTTTTTTCTTCATGCCTCTTTGTGCTGCTTCCCTTCACGAACTTGTCGCAGGTGTGGTGTACGCTGCACGGGCACGACATCGGGGTGCACGAAGCAGAACGACTAGTTCTTGCGTAGGGCTCTTGGGTTACCTTCATACATGTTGCCTTGTTTTGCGAGAAGCCACGAGAGGCTTGGTGGCCGTGGAGGAGGCGTGCCCCTCTTCTGGCACAGGGACATCAATGCGGCGCGCAACATCTTGGATTGCTACCTGAGAGTGGCACGCGGCGACGAAAGGGGCCTGCCCTTTCGTCGCTCGCAGTGGTGAGACGTCCCGTCAAATCTCACCGGGAAGCAGTTCACTTTGAGCACAATGCTCATTTTGTACATAAGACTCCGTCACAGAGTGTTTGATTTTTCAGACACTCTGTGACACAGCACGGCGTCATGTGGAAAGGCCAACATGTCGAATGACGACCGTGAGCATCAGCCTTGGTGCAACACAATCCCGGACACGGACATCTTCGCCGGCTACTGCAAGATCGCGTATCCCCACCCAGACGACGTGGGCAATTGCAACTGCGCTCCCGGAACGGAAATCATCTTCAAGACGGGCCGACCCTACCTGTCCCAAGGCAACAAGATGGTCAGGCTGGACAACACGTGTATGGCTTTATGGGAATCCACTCTTCGTTCTCGTACCGCTTCTACTGCGAAGGCGGCTGGGAGCAGTCGAGGGTGCGCTGTCTCGACGACGCCAAGCACAGCTTCGTGCTTGCCGGCTGGAGGTGCGGCTGAGCCCGTCAAGGAACAGCAACGGCGCGCCCCTCTTCTGGCACAGGGACATCAACGAGGTGCGCAACATCTTGGATTGCTGCCTGAGAGTGGCACGCGGCGACGAAAGGGGCCTGCCCTTTCGTCGCTCGCACCGGTGAGACGTCCCGTCAAATCTCGCCGGGGAGCAGTTCACTTTGAGCACAATGCTCATTTTGTACATAAGACTCCGTCACGGAGTGTTGCTTTTTCAGACACTCTGCCAGTACAGATGCGGTCGCCAAAATCCAGACCAGGATCCAGATTTACAAAAAAAGTGTCTCGCCGCGGTATGGGTGGAGTGGGCTCGGCGGCCTGGGGTAGGCGGCCCTGACCGGGGTTTAGGCGAAGGCATGCGAGGGCCACTTCAGCCCACCGCTGACAACCGCTGCGTGCCACAGCACGTCTGGACATCAGCTTGAAGAGAGTCGATCGATCGAGTGCAGTTTCACTTGGCAGCAGCCGTATGCGCTCAGCACGCAAGCCCAAGCGCACCAGCCCCTCAAAGCGCTGGAACTGCTCTGGCCGCTTGCCCCGCCAGCCATCAAGCCGACTTGCTAAGTATGTTGCCAGATCCAAATAGGCATTGTCACAGAGGTCTCGAAGCCGATGGCCGCCGCGGGCAACTCCACGACCAGCCACCAGTGCCATACAGCGGCCGCGGCATCGTCGACCGCGTGCGGGTGGTAAGCCAGCGCAGCAACTTTGTGATGCACCTCCTCCGGCAACAGCGGGCCAAACATCCGTCTTTAAACGTGCAGCAATGACCGGAGCGATGACCAGAGCGAAAGTAAAAAAGGGCCCAAAAGGCAGGTTTGAGGTTTGGCTCACTTGCGTAGGCTGCTAGGATTTGCACGATGCCGCAGCTTTTTGAGTCTTTTTTAGTGTCTCGCTTCTCTCATCCGCACTTCCGCCACATGTCGTTGTCCCCGGATACGCTCGCCAAGATGCATCCCGTCGAGGCACGTTTTCATGCTGACCATTTGCACCATTTTCAGACAATGTTTGTGAGAGTTTGTGAGAGTTAGTCTGTTGCTTACTTGCGAGGCAGCTTCTTACAACCAGTGCGCGGCCCTGCGAGCCCTCATTCACGAATTGCAGCGCACCAACCAGCAGGAGAGCCTCGAGGAACAGGCTGCGGTGCTGTTGAGCTTGCCGCAGAAGCTGGACCGCATTCACCAGGACTTGTGCAGCACCTTGCGAAACATGCACCTGCCTCGGTTGGTGCCCCCTACCATCCAAGCTGTCTCCTTGAAGAGCCTTGTGCCAGATCCTGCACCGAAGGGAGCCTCGCACATCCAGTGCAAGCTGCGGGCTCTGTCGGGGGGGTCGTGGCTGAAATCTTCGTGAAGAAGGGCATCCCCTGGCTGGATGCAGTGCCTCCTAAACCCTAAACCGCACTCTCCTAAACCCTAAATGCTCAGCGCGGAACTCTCCCGGACCTCTCCCAAATTGTGGATGCCCTTTAGGCAGAAGGCGCTTATCCTCAGTGTGGCAGGCGCGTGCCGGCCGGGGTTTGCCTTAACACCAAAACAACTACCTGTTTAAGGACTTCTATAAGGAACTCATAATAAGGCTCCCGAAGAAGGCAGGTTTTATAGGGTCGAGGTAGGCTCAGTGGGTGGAGCAGGGATATTCAAGGATGTTTTGGGGTTTCCAATTTTTTTTGAGGGTGTGTAAAAATAGGGCGTGGAGACCTTAGGTGTTTGGGGCGAAAAAAAAGGGTTGAAGTTTAGAAACCATGGTTTAAGTTTGTCAACTTATGCTTCAAGCAACTGCTGTAGGGTTCAGGTTCCGGGTTGAGGGCTTGGAACTCTTGGGGTTTAGAGTTTAGGGTTTGGAATTCATGGCTAGCTTTTGTTCAAGGGGCTAAAGGAGGGACCCTTAAAGAGACCCTTGGGGTCATATAGGGGCTTTTTGAGACTATATCAGGGCTATATAGGGTATTTGGATTGGGGGTCTTTTCCAGGGGTCCCTCCTATTGTCCCTTAATCTGTGCCCGTTTCATAACCCCGACCTGAATGAAGCCCTAAAGCACTATTCCGCTCAACAGGATTCAGGGTGTGCGCCCTTCTGCTGCTGAACTCATGGACAGCTCCGCTGACTCTTCTTCCGTGTCCAGTGAGCGAAGAATTTTCCGATTTGCTTTTCGAGTATCTGAAGAAAGAATCCAAAGACAGGCGAAAGTATTCGCAGCGCACGAAGTTCGACTTTCTGAAGTACAAAGAATCCCAAGAAGCGATCCGTGTGAAATCGGCTTTTAAACTTGGCTTCAAGGCCATCTTCGTGCATCGTGCGCGGGCGATAGAGCACTGGCAGAGCCAGCTTTCACTCGACAGACGTGCCGCTGCGGACAAGTGGGACGAGGAAGTGGCGAAAGCCAAGCATCGACTGATGACTGGTCCCAAAGGACTCCCCACCCGGAACCCTAAACCCTAAACCCTAAACCCTAAACGACGACTCCATCATCGTCGAGAACAACATCGAGCACTGCGAGGAAAAGGAGCTGGAGCACAAGGGCTTGGCCCCCTTTTGATCCCCTGTGTAGAACCTTTATGGAATCGAAGCTTCAATGGAAGCTTAAACCCTAAACCCCCCTAAACTCTAAACCCCTAAACCCCTAAACCCATAAACGCTAAACCCCTAAACCCCTAAACCCATAAACGCTAAACCCCTAAACCCCTATACCCTAAACCCCAAAACCCCCAGACCCCTAAACCCCTAAACCCCTAAACCCTAAACCCTAAGCCCGAAACCCCTAAACCCGTAAACCCCGAAACCCCTAAACCCGAAACCCGAAACCTTAAACCCTAAACCTGAAAGGAGCCTTGTCTTAATCTGCAAGCCCAGGGCTCCTACTGCTCCCTGTGGGTTGGAGCCGCGTCGTCTTCAATGACCACTCCGTTGAGCAGGTTTTGGGGGGTTTAGGGTTTAGTTGTTTAGGGTTTGGGGTTTAGAGGGTTTAGGGTTTTGTTTAGGGTTTAGGATTTAGGGTTTAGAGTTTGGGGGGTTTAGGGTTTAGGGTTTAGTTGTTTAGGGTTTAGGGCTTGGGGTTTTTGGGGTTTAGGGAGTTGGAAACCGGATTAAGGACAATTAGTGCTGGGCTTCGGTATACATTACTCTTAAGGATTGAGGCTATTGGGCTTCCATTTTTGGGCTTCTACTGTAGGGTTTACAGTTTGAAGTGAAGGATTCTATGAGGGTTTAGGGCTTTGGGTTCAGAGTGCCCTAGGCCATGAGGTTTAGGGTTTTAGGGTGTAGGGAAGGCCTATAGAAGTTCTTTAGGTCTTCAGGGGTCTAGGGTTCAAGGGTCAGGGTTGTGCAAGGGTTCTGTATGGGTTCTACGGCAGTCCAGTCCGGGGGTTTCGAGAACCGTTCTGTCAGGGTTTTTTCAGGAGTATAAGGATTCTACATGGGTTCTGTAGGATGCTCTGTAACCCTAACCCCTGGGTCGTAGCAGGGCTGTGGGGGCGAGTACAGTCTGGATGTGGGGTTTAAAGTTTCCGGGTTCAGGGATCCTTGTCTCAGCAGGGTTTAGGAGGTGGGGCTCTTTAGTCTACTTAAAGGCCCAAAGCCCCTAAACCCTAAACCCTAAATTGTAAACCGTATAAGGTTCAAAGGGACCTGAAGGGACCGTGTGTTACTTAAGAGCTCAAGGGACTTAGCCCCTATAGCCTATAGCCCCATGTATAACCCTGCAAAGTTAATTCCTGAGCCCCCTTAAGCAGGGTTTTGAAGCCCTGCAGTAAACTGGTGCAGCCTCCTAAGCCCAATACCTCAGTGTTCGGATGTGCGGGGGTGTACGATCAACTGACTGACCAGGCGTGTGTTGAGAATAGTATGGTCAAGGTTTGAACTTCACAGGGGTAAGGGGTGTAGTTTCTTCTGTTCATATCAAAGGACCTGTCTTCTTTGTTGTAGCTTTATGACGGACCTTTCTGGTTTCTGGCACCTTGGCAAGAGTATTATGCTGTGGAGTTCATGGCTCTCTTCCGTGCTAGCGGGAGTGCTTTAGGGTTGGGGGTTTAGGGTTTACCCTAAGCCCATCAACTCTAAGCTTTCGAGGTTTTTGTTTTAATCTCCGAGCCCCTTCAGTGGTTTAAACCCTAGACCTTGAACTCTAAAGCCTAAGCCCTACCAAAGCCTAATCCGTGCTTCTCGATCATGGAATTGAGTCGGCAATCGGAGATCTGGGGCCAGCCTGAGAGAATTGAAATCCCGTCTAAAACGGCGGACGAGACGTGGCCACCCGACTTGCTACCGCAGCATGTCGTTGGTCTTCACTGGATGCTTGCAGCTGCACAACGTCTACGTGAGGAGCAAGAGACATTCACTTAGATCTCTTCCTATGGACGTCGCTTGACCCAGCCAGCTTCTTTGGGGTCTGTGGTCTCCCTAAGCCCTAAACCCTAAACCCCAAACCCCAAACCCTAAACCCTAAACCCCAAACCCAAACCCTAAACCCTTTGGGTGTAGGAGTGCAGGACTACGGCTTGAGGAGCTTGGAGTAGGCCCTAAACCCTAACACCTAAACCCAAACGCTGATACAGACTGAACCCTGAACCCCGAACCCCGCACCCTAAACCCCTAAACCGTAAAACCTCAAACTCCTTAACCCCTAAATCCCCGAACCCTAAACCCCTAAACCCCGAACCCCGAGCCACGGGGAGGTCTTGGCTGGCGCCGCCTTCGGCGTGGTTGTGGCCTTCTTGTGGTACGGCTTGCTGCAGCTCCGTCACTCCTGCACGTTTGAGGTTTAGGGTTTAGGGTTTAGGGCTTAGGGTTTAGGGATTTAGGAGTTTAGGCTATCACGGTTTAGGTAGGTTTTTGTTTCCGAGTTTAGGGTTACGGGTTTAGGCATAGGTGGGTTTAAGCAATGCCTGTAAAGGGCTATGAATCCCTGCGTAAAGCCCCTATGAACCCACACAATGGTGCTCAACTACTTCACAGTGGAAGTCAGTTAGGACGAGCTTGGAGGGCTGCCGGCGGCTGATGAACATAATGATAATCTAAAGGGTCCCTATACCTTACTACGATGGAATCAGATCCCCAAGACCATGGACCTACTTCCACAATGGTAGCATACATGGACCCTCTGAGTACTACAATGGTCGGAATAGTTAGTCAGAGCATCTCTAAGATTGTGTGTATACTACTGGAGACATCAAAACCCTGTTCTAGCGATTAAGCCTCCTAGATTGCGACCATTCAGGAACCGGAGATAAGCACTTGCTAATAACTTGTCAAGTTCGTTGCGAACAGACTGCGCCTTGTATTACTTTCCCCACAAGTAGGACAGATCGCGTGCACCAGGCCGGGGACAGCTGGAGAAATGTAGCCCCATGGTCCTGCCTGGTCTTGTGTTGCACAGTTTAGGGTTTAGAGCTTAGGGCTTTGAGCAGCGTTAGAATGAGAGCAGAGGAACTGCCGGCCGATTCTGCCAGTCGTGAATGCCAAGCAAATGCGAGGAATCAGATGTGGGATGCAGGAAGTTTGTCTGGGACAGGATCCGCTTCCCCACGCCATAGGGAATCCTAAGCTCAAACACCTTTTAATTTCTTAAAACCCTACTTCAAGACCTAAACCCTAAAAGGCACAACTCAAGAGAAGCCCTAAACCCTGACACCCCAAACCCCCGAAGCCCTGAACCACCGAATTCCTTAAATTCCAATGAGACAACCCTGAGTCCCACAAAACCCTCAACCTTAAGCCACAAACCCTACACCGATAAGCCCTCACCCTTAACTCTAAACTTTCGGTTTTTGGATCCGGGCGAAACCCTAAACCCTAAACACCATTTGAAAAGACCCGGAACAACGAACGCCCTAGACCCTAAACCCCAGAAGGATCCGAGTCACCTGGAGCTTGGTCTTTCAGGGTTTGGGGGAGATGTTTAGGGGCTCGTGTGGTTCGTGATTCCATGGATTTCCGAGGTTTGTAAACTAATTGATATATAAAGAAACATATATATATATATAACGTACCCATGAGGGCTTATGCAAGACCATGTGCTTCTGGTAGGTCCATGTAAGATAAGATTAGGGATCTGTAGTCAGTAGTCCCGATAGAACGGTACAAAAGCTGAGATACTTTGAGACCCTATTATGTTCAGGCCCTTATTGGATTCAATGAAGCCAGGAGTGACAATGTGGGTGCTGAAGGCGGGCCGGCCAGTGGATGTTCAACCTTTCGATGGGTTTAGGGTCTAGGGCTTAGGGTTTTTAGGGTCTCAAACCCTAAACCCTGAATTGAAAGGGTTTTGTATTGCTACATAAGGCGGAGAGAGACGCCTTGGCGTAGGGCATTTTGGGCAAGTTTGAACTATGACCGTTGTCATTGCTTGAACTACGTAGTGTGCAAGTAGGATCCTGGTTCCCTATAAACGAGTATGTGTCCCTGCCCTTCTCTCCGCAGAAGCGTAGCAAAAGACCTCATAAAGCCCAACTGCACGAGTGGGGGAAAGCACCCAAAGCCTCAAACCCGAAAGCTAATGCCAAGACCCTAAACCCATAAGCCCCTCAACCTTCAATTCCCTAAACACCCTAACCCCTAAACCCCCCCAAACCCTAAACCCTAAACCCTAAACCCCAAACCCTAAACCCTTAAAGAGATCCCTTAAAGGAGCCCTGAGCATCCAAATTCCTTCCCCAAGCCGGGCCTCTGCCTCAGCTCCTCAAATCCTGGATCCCGCTGCTGGACCTGCGGACCTGACCTGCTTAGGATGTTCAGGTATTTAGGTTTTAGGGTGCAGGGTTTAGGGTTTAGGGTTTAGGGTTTAGGGTTTAGGTATTTAATCTGGTTTCTTCTTCGTGGTTTCTGGCTTTTGTAAATTCCTAGGGAGTTCAGAAAGGTTAGTTTTACTCTGTTTTCCCTGATCGTGGCTTGCAATGTGTGTGTGTGTGTGTTTGTGCGTTTCGTGTTACTTACGTAGAGGTTTTGCTGTTTTCATTTAGGGTGTGCTCAGGGGATCATGAAGGGTTGTTTCCCGGGTTTGACAGACCAAAAGGCACATGTCACATAATATAGCGTCCTTTACTATTAGAGTTGGGTTTTGGGGCAATACCCTAAACCCTAGACCCTTCACCCTAAACCCTAAGGAGTTCTCAGGAGTAGTAATATGCGCAATTGCTCAGGCTTCTATACGGGTAGTTCTCTAAATTAGGGTCCCTTCTAGGGCCCTTTTTAGAAGAGTGCCGTACTATATTGGGAATCCAAAAAGGGACCGCAAACCTAAAACCTTCGTAGTCCCGAAGCTTCGATACCCACCAACCACATGGGTAGTTCTCCCTGTTTAGGTTCCCGAAAAAGTATGGCAACCTAAAAAAAATGACCCTAAACGTGACCCTAACATAGAGAACTACCCAGATGAAGCATTGAAGCAAACAGCGCTGTCTCTGTAAAGTCCCCTGGCACCCTCTAACAGCCTGTCAAACCCCTACACTAGCCTGTTCCTTTTTTTACACCGACAGTACAGATCTGAAGTCCCTCATAATCATCGAAAAGACTATCCTACCATACTGCTGTTTTGAACGCATGTACCTTAATAGTTTTGGATCTTTTTGGCTTTATATAACCTTAGCAAACAACATGTAAACTCATTCTATTCTTTACTGTAAGCCTGATAAGCAGCCCTTGAAAGACCCTTTTGAACCCTGCCCCTAAAAAAGCGTCAAACTCCATACGCGAGCTTTACCGCTCAATAAAAGAGCCTTTGTATCACCCATGTGACAAGCTTTCCAGACCCTTTCAAAGCCCTAACCCTCAAAGAGCTTTGCCCTAGAGCCCTAAACCCTAAACCGGTTTAGGGTTTAAGCTGCAGGAAGTAAACCTAAGCTAGCCATGTCTATCAACCCTACACCCTAAACCCCGAAATCACTACACAAAAAGTGCAAGTGCCCTGAAGCTTGACCGGTTTCGATCCCTGAAAGAGCCCAGCGCCTCGAGCCAGGAACTATCCACTGGACGCGGCGCCCGAGGGGCCCTGGGCGCCTGCGGCCGCGGCGAAGGCACGGCTTGAGGGCTTTATGAGTTAGGGTTTAGGGTTTAGGGTTTAGGGTTTAGGGTTTAGGGTTTAGGGTTTAGGGTTTAGGGTTTAGGGTTTAGGGTTTAGGGTTAGGGCATTCCCGTTTTGGGCTATGGCACCACCCACCCCCAACCAAACACAAAAAACTATAGGCAAAATAACAAAGAACGTATATGACTATACACAAAGAATATTATTAAACACACCGAGATACAGTACGTACTAAAGAAGTGCACGGAGTATGACGAGCAACTGAAAAAAGAGCAGAACCAAAAACGACGAGAATAGTATCAAGAACATCAAGAAGACTTCCAAGCAAAAGGCAGAGAATATTGGAATCATAACAAAGAAATGCTACTTGAAAAGCAACGTCAATATTGCTACCATAGTAGAGAAGAAATAAATCAAAAACGTCGTGAAACGTATACAGAGATGAGTGACGAAGTGATTAACAAACATAAATTTGTTATGGAGCCAAGAAGGAAGAACTTAACAGACGCAGGCGTGAACAACATACTTCAAACAGTGATGAGAAGAAAACGGCGTGCGATAAAACATATCGGCAAAGCCATAAAGAGGAAATCGCCCAAAAGAAAAGTGAGTGGTATGAGACGAACAAGGAAGAAATGAACAGAAAGCAAAGAAAGAGAGAAACGACAACAAGGGAAGCAGGAACACATACAATAACTCAATTTTAAGTTAACTAAGATCCAAATAAATTGAATAAGGGTTTCAAGACCACGACGACCATCACGACCATGACGGCCATGATGACCCTGACGACCACGGCCACGACGACCAGGAGGACCAGGACAGCTACCAGGAGGCCCCAGGAGACCACCCTGCCAGGGATTTAGGGTTGAGGGTTTAGGGTTGAGGGTTTAGGGTTTAGGGGACCAGTCATAGTCAAATGCACGGCCAACATGCTTCCCTCAAATACTGGCGGATTCACACATGCTATCTCGGGAATGATGATGGATTTTACGACGACGGCCAAAATAGGCTTACGTAGTGGTCTGGTGACTCAAGGACGGCCCTGAACTCGAAATCCTGCAGCACACAAAAAACGAGCGAAAGGCTGCCAGCTACGGCGCCACGCGGGACCCTGAAGGCACGCAGAGCTTGCCGCACTTTAGGGGTTTTCGCGTAAGTGGTAGCAGTATCCCTTGAATAATTATTTCATTCAGTCCTTGTGGGACTCGTTACCCATTGCAATCATTGAGGCCGTAGAGCAAACAACGGATCCTTACAGGCCTTCGTACCGTTACTAGGCATTTACAGGATCTTTTTCAATTTGTAATGAACAGTCCCGCTCGAAGGTATTTACAAATAGCATGATAGGGGCCCCAATAACTGGAGCAGCTTTTTTGGGTATATTATACTATAACTATTATCATAAGCGTTTTTGGGGATCGGGCTCAAGCAGGGTAATATAGCACCCTAATGTAGGGGCCTAAATAATTACCTATACTATATTGGGAGCTCCTTGTTCTAATTATGGCATAATGTACCCAAAAGCCCTATTCTAATTATAACGGTCCCTATGTTAAAAATTACCAATATTGTTCCTCAGGGCTCCTTAGTCTAATTACACCGTGAAGGAGCCCAAGAACGTATAGGGCCTTTGGCTACAGGTGAAGTGTGGAATGCCACAAAAAGGATGGCTGCAGCTGGCAAAGCTAAGCCAGTGCAGGGGTTTTACTTAATACAGGGGCCTTAATAATTACCTATACTATCTGCGGGACTCCTTATTATGATGACAGTACAAAATAACCTCAAAACCCTATTCTACTAGGCCCTTATAAAAACTATATACTCCATTGTAGTTAGTTTTGGTAGCCATTCTTAGGATCCGCTCCAGGCGCCAAGCTTTTGGGTGCAAGTAGTCTTCGTTTGGCACTGTGGCTTCCGGACTTTCAATCCAGACAAGGCTGTAGGGTTTCAGCGAAGGTCTATACAGCTAAGCTGGCGCTGTTTAGTGCGCGTGGGGTTTGGAGCTTGGATGTCTCGAATTGTGGGGATGGCGGCTTCAGCTTGGGGGTCAGGGTTCAATGTTTAATATAGGTGCCTTAATGACTAGACTAGGGCCTTGGGTTATGGGACCCATTGTAGTATACTCATAATACGGAACCCCCAAATAATACTACGGTTGATGATATAAATCCTGCATTACCCATAATAAGGAATATACCATCATTCCCACAGTTTAGGGTCCTTATTACTGTGCAGGATTTGTATCATCAACAGTAGTAATTATTTAGGCCCCTATATTATGGTCTTTAGGCTTGGTCTCCGGGGTGTAAATAGGGGCCTTAATGATTACCTATACTAATTTTCGGGGGTTCCTGCGGTTGGTGATATACAGTAAATCCTGCATTACCCACAATAAGGAATGTACCACAATTGCATAGTTTAGGGTCCTTAAGGTGATGCAGGATTTAGATCTTCAACAGCTATTAGAATTATAGTATAACATACCCCAAAACAGTATTCTAATTACGTATTAAGGCCCCTGCATTAGGCTTTGGGACTTGATGGTCTTAAGCCCTAGAAACCCGTATAACAAGCCGCAACCTAATCAACGAGAGCCCCTTCTAAATGCCTTTGGTTCAGGGTTTAGGGTTGAGGGTTTAAGGTAGATAATGTTTGTGACGTTATGTAAAAAAAAACCCTGGACCTGGAAGTCTGAACCTGTCGAGTCCTTCGATACTGCTTGTTCTGGTTTCTTTGAGCGCATCGTGGCCTTCAAGCTCGACTAGGACAGGGTCTAGGGTTTAGGGTTTAGGGTTTCCTTCTGAAGGCTTGAGTCAATGCGGGTCCCATTTTGGTTTAGTTGTTAAGGCGGTCCCCCCCCGAATCAGGCCCCGTATGATTTAAACTAAATCCCTCCGAAGCGCGATACTTGTGGCTAGGACGCTTCCCCGAAGTCCTATAAAGCCCCAGTTAGGAAAACAACGAAACGCCAGTGATAACTGGAGAGCCCCAAGGCCTTACAGCATTTCTTAATGGCCCCGTATGCCTTCGTGGAGTCCTCGCCAGGTACATCATCCCAACAGCTGACTGCACAGTGAGCCGAAGGCAGAGCCAACCTTAATCTTCGTATCAGCATTAATGTATGTGGTGTTTACAACGGTTTGTGTTGTTTTGGTTTGGGGTTTGAGGTTTAGGGCTTGGGGTTTAGGTTCCGGAATTAGGGTTTGGGGCTTAGCGATTTGGGGTTTAAAGGCTTAAGTAAGGGCTTGCACTCTTCCTTGTGGGTTCACGTTGCCCCAACGTATGGCGGGTATCTTCTGCTTGAAGGATGTAATTGCACTCGAAAGCCTCGAAGTGGCGAGAGCCTCTACACTAGACTGGTATCTGAACAGGTTGTAACGTCGTCCCTGATGTCTAATTCACACCCTCTCAACAGGGATCTTGATGTCGTAAGGCCTAGAGTAAGCGGCTTTGACACTCACATGCACCTCTATAAAAATAGCAGTACCCGTTCTATATATTGAGGCCACTGCTTCACCCTATATTGGGCGAAGTGCTTCGTGCTGCAACAGTTTATAGGGTAAGAACGAGGAGCAGAAGTAGCAGGACTCGCAGCGACATTACCATGGTAGCGGGATATGACATTTTTGGATTTCGGTTCAGCGTTTTAGGTTGATGGCTTTGCGTTCAGACTGTAGGGTCAGGGCATTTGCGACTCCGAAGCAGCCAGACAATCCCAATCCTTGGGCCCTTGAGAAATGAATGAGCTGTCGGAAATCATCCGAAGTTTCACGCTGAAGCAAGCTACAGGATAAGCAACAGCTGTGATCCTGCGGCTTGCAGACACCGTGGCAGGTGCTGATGAGGCAGCCTCTAAGCTGGTTTTGTTATTCATTATTCATTCAACCCTTAAACTAACAGAAAGGAACGCCTAAACCGTAAGCCCCAAAACCCTAAACCCTAAAACCCTACACCCTAAGCCCTAAACCCTGAACCTTAAGCCCCAGAGCAGTAGAGCCTAAGCCATGAACCTGCAGCCCTTCTTGGCCCTAGTCGACTAGGTGTCGGTTTCAGTATACTGCAGACTCCTGATGCTGAGGGTTTAGGGTTTAGGGTTTAGGGATGAGGGTTTAGGGATTTAGGGTCTAGGGTTTAGGGTTTATGGGGATCCCTTCATGGGGCTCTATTAGTTTGGGGTCTAAGTTCTCATACTCCTAGGAAGGAAGGGTGGAACAGGGGGCCTCCCAGAAGAATGAAGATCACTAGAGCCTCGAGTTCTAAGTTTCCAGCTTTGATCCCGAAGCAATTTTGGGTTTAGGGTTTAGGGCTTTGGGTTTAGGGTTTAGCGTTTAGGAAGAAAGCTAGCAATGGATTCAGAGGTCTGAAGAATCAGAAATGACCATGCGGTCCCTATGTGATCATAATCAGCCCGACTCTAACAATGGAGGCACCCACGTTGACGATGTTGTGGCCTGGCGGAATGTAGACCTTGATTTCTATAGCCGAGCATCAACCTACCCCCTCTAAGAGGCCTGAGCCTTCAGTCGGGTGCAAGAAGAGTTCGGAATCATACGTGAACTCTAAACCCTAAACCCTAAACACCAACCCGACATCCGAAGCCGTAAACCCGCCCTGAACCCCGTACACTCGCTTAAGCTTGGTGTCCTGTTTCGACCCCGGCCCCATTGAGTTAGTTTCATGAAGAACGTAGCCTACTTCATGTATGTCAACAAAGCCAATACCCACGCTATAAGCCACGCTATATTGCTCTATTCTGGGATTTTGGGGCATTGCGGGGAGGCAATGTTCAGTGTTCCAAAAATGTGTGCGCTGAGGATGGTCGTAGGCAAATGTTAAGCTTGCGTGTTTAGGGTTTCGAAAAACCCTAAACCCTAAGCCCTAAACCCAAAGCCCTAAACCCTAAACCCTAAACCCTCAGACCTAAGCCCTAAACCCTAAGCCCTAAGATCTAAACCCTAAACTCTAAGCCCTAAGACCTAAACCCTAAGCCCTAAACCCTAAACCAAAAGCCTTACCCAACCTTTAAACTTCTTGGGTTCTTATTCTATAGTAAGAAGAGCAATTTTTTGGTGTTTTAATTAGTAAGAAGAGCAACTTGTTGGGATTCTTTATCCTTTAGTAGTAATCTGAAAGTTTAGCCTTTCATTCCCTTGGCTAATTGGAGAAGTAAGAACCAGCCCCAAGACTAAAGCTAAACCCTAAACCCTAAACCCTCACGCCAAAACCCCTGACCAAAGCCAGAGCACCCTGAACCCTGCTCCCCTCTGAGGCCCCAAAGCAGCCCAAAAGGCGTCGTCTAGGGTTTAGGGTTTGGAGTTTCGGGTTTAGGGTTTAGGGTTTAGGGTTTGGAGCTTAGGGTTCGGGTTCAGGAGGATGGCTCTTGGGCCGAAAAAGTCCTCAGAGTCTTGGTTAGGGTGGGTTGGTCCCTTCTAGAACCATGATAGAATAGTATAGGGGCCTTCACAACAAGAACAGGGTGTTTGGGCCCATCATACTATAATTGTAGTAAGTAATCTCGAAGCCTCAATAAGTACCAAGAATACTAATCCTTAGGGTTCGTTATTGTAAGATACCATAAAGGAAACCCTGTTCTGATTGTTAAGGCCCCTAAACCCTAAACCCTAAACCCTAAAGCCCTTAAGCCCTAAACCCTAAAACCCTAAACCCTAAACCCTAAACCCTAAACCCTAAACCCTAAAACCCTACATTAATTGTTTAGGTTCCATGATGGGCTCGGGGAGTCCCAGCGAAAAAGGAGGCGCGCCTCGATGCACGCCAAGCACCCACCTGCATCAGAGTACCTCTGGGTAGGCCTTGGGGACATTTTATACTCCCCTTCTGGGGCTTAAGCGGATCTTATTTACGACCCTAAACCCTAAACCCTAAACCCTAAACCCTAAACCCTAGACCCTAAACTCTAATATTTTTCAGAGGCTTTGGGGGGCCAACCTGGACCTGAGCTGGTGCATGCGCGGGGGAAAAAAAAGGCGGGCTTGTGCCTTGCTATCTACAGGGCTTTTAGGGTTTAGGGTTTAGGGTTTAGGGTTTCCACAGGGCTGGATGAGGGTTTTTCAGGTTTCATCTTAAAAAGGTCTTCCTCGTGTATTTTGGTGGCGTTGAAGGTTTTAAATGCTCTTGCATTTTCTGGTCGGTGTGGGTTTTTTTCACCGGTTCTAGCTGGAGTTATAGCAAGGAACACATCTTTATTCGTTCTACACCCCCGGCAACACCTAGCTAAATGAGACCTTCTCCTTCCGTCTGCACGCAGCAGCTGCTGTGAATATTTTGTATGTTGGATACTGCCCCCAGTCACTTAATATAGATATAGAGGGTCCTTAGTAGTAGCCCTATTATAGACCCTTACCGTATGAGGGCAGTACCGAATGTGTATGGTTCTTGGAGTGCGATCATTCGCAAAGGGTTTTGGGGGATAGTGGCTATGCTATGCACATAGTATCTTGGGGGCTCCTTATTAGAATTATGATACAATGTACCCCAAAATTCTATTCTAATTATTAAGGCCCCTATATTGCGTTAGTGCCGCGATGCCGTGGAGGTGTCGAGTGTACACAAAGATTAGGTCAGGGCTGCCTCTGCTTTTTCCGGGTTGAGGGCTCAGGCGGTAAGTGCTCAAAGAACTCAAAATTTCCCGGTCACCCCGTAATTACGGGGTCAGCAGCTATGGTTATCATTGTTATTTCTGATGCTTTTCTGCTTGCTACTGCTGGAATTAGTATTCGTTATTGGCATTTTTGCGGCTTAAACCCTAAGCTCCAAACTTCGAAACCCTAATCTTTAGCCGAAACGCAAAGCTTTGCAATGGTGAGGAGCAGGCGCTGCCTCTGTTGAGCAGGACATGACGAATGGCACAGGCGGGGTCTAGGGTTTCGGGGTTCAGGATTTAGTATATGGTTTCGGGGTTTAGGGTTTGGGGTTTGGCTGACCTCAGAGAAGTTTTTGAGGCTTCTTATTTTGATGCACCAGTCTATGTCCATATACAGGCAGGCTCTTGCAGCTTAGGATAGGATTTAGGCTAGGACTCTAAACTCTCCATCCTAAACCCCAAACCCTGAACCCCGAACCCTAAAGTCGAGATCCTAATCTTCGCGTTTATGAATAGAATTGAGGTTTGCCCTGGCTTGCAATATGGTTTATAGGGGTTAGATGGGGAGGTGATTACCACTCATTCACACCAAAGATCCTGCAATTTAAGTCCCTTACCCGAACAGCTCAGCGCTAAATCCTGAACTCTTCGCTACCAGTCGTTGCAAACCCCCATGGAAATGTAGGGGCCTAAATAATTAGTTACCAAGTCTATTTTGGAGGTTCCTTATTATAGCTATAGTATAATTCAGTATAATATACCCCGCAACCCTATTCTAATTTATTAAGGCCCCTATGTTAATCTGTAACGTTATGGAAGGTGTTCTTCTCCTCATGCCCTGCAGTTGTCCGTAAACCTTAAACCCTTTGGCCAGAACCCCGAACTCTGCACAGGCTGTGCGCTCATGGGTAGGCACATGTCGGGTTATGCGCAAGGTGAGCAACTGCAGCTACAGACAGCAATACTCCCAGGTTGTGCATGCATGCCCATGGGCCTTGAACATAAGGCCTGCCTAAACCCTCTACACTACACGTCAAGCCCGCCAAATCGTGGCGCAAGTTCTATACCGGAGTTTCCACGTCCATAAAACAAAATCCCCAAATCCAAACACTGCGCCCTAATGCCCAAATCCTTAAGCCCGCAAGCCGTAAGCCCGGAATTGCATCCGTTTAGACCCCTTACTGAACCTCTAAGCTCTTGGCCCTGTACCCTAACCGCTGCCCTCAACAATTGATCACAGTATCCCATTATCTTTCTGAACCAACATACCGTGCCCGAAGACTTCGTGTAAATTGTTCAAGCCTTTTTACAAGACCTTTAGAGGGAACCCTTTGCTTTAAACCCTAAACCCTAAACCCATCAAGAACCCTCAACCCTAAACCCGTCAAGAACCCTAA